AACCTTTCAAGGCAAATGTTATTGAAAACGTTTTCAATAGGCTGCTTAATAAATTTCCCATCACTGAATGACTTACAACTTTTAGCTAAAATGAGACTCACTTCATTTTCTGTTTCGGGATTGCGCCTTTTTAACAAATCTTATGGTCTAACTATCTAATATATCAATATTTTTGCTTTTTTAATTTTGCACCATCAGATATCAATCGGTCATATAATCTGCACAAAGATAAATAAATGATAAATAAATTTTAAGTTTTACAAAAGATTAAATTAATATTATTTAATTATAATAAAAGTAATTCGATACTTATTATTATACTAATACAACAGTTTATGCTTGTTTAAACTTGCATAAACTATGACGTCATAGTTTATGCTTGTTTAAACTTGCATAAACTATGACGTCATAGTTTATGCTTGTTTAAACTTGCATAAACTATGACGTCATAGTTTATGCTTCATAAACTATGACGATTATTCGTTAAATAGACTGAAATTTATTTTGTGCATTTTATATTCTGTGCGCGTTAAGTTTATTGGACCAAACAAGCTCTGGAATCCATTCACCAGGATTTCAATCAGTTTAGTCGAATGAGACAAATTAGAGAACATAGCCTAAACTATATTGAAGCGCTTAAAAACGCAAATTTTGCCTGCAACTGCAAACATTTTTAAAGAAGCTTTCAATTTGCAGGTAGCTTGTAAAAAGTATAATATTAACTTCTTATGAACGATTGCTTAACATAATTTTTTAATATATGATGTGATTATATATGACATATATAATTAAAAATATATATAATAATTTAACCAAATAGACCAGAAGTTTGTTTTTACGGCCATAAAGTAGTGGTAGCTAACCCTATTGGACCCCTAATACCCCACCCCTAGTGCATAGTTCCCTAATAGAATTTTTTTTTTGTTTTAAATTAAACTAGATCAAAATTCATCAACAGATTTTATAAATTTCATCAAGAAACAAAATATAGTTTAAAAGTTACGACCATTCAAAGTTATTTCAGGGGATAAATTTGTGGAATTTGAACTTCTTATGGTCATAAATCTTAAACGAAAAGATATTTTTGATGAAACTTGAAATCTGTTGATAAATTTTGGTCTAATTTATGATAGAACTTTAAAAATAATTAAAAAGAAAATTTATTAGCTTAGACAATTCGGGCTCGGGACAGTGTTGGGTTAGCTCCAATTACCTCAACTTTTTGCAATTCATCCTCATTTGATACCATTATTAACATGCTAAAAATTTGAGTATGCCACATAGCTCTTAGTTACCTATCTTGAACAACAAAATTACTAGGCACTCGCCTAGTAATTTTGTTGTTCAAGATAGATAAAATACGTGATTTCTCCCTAGGTCCCCGGGGAAAAAAGTTGTTTTTTACATTTTTGAAATAAGGAAGAGTCTTCTGATAATAATAAAAAAAAAATTACTGGGAATGTGTTGCAAGGTCTCAGAGCATTTTCCTACAAACCGTGAACAACACAATGTGAGGAAAACCGTGGAATCGTTGAGAGGGAATAAAGGATTCCACGCCAGCCTGAATCCACGAAGTTATGTGAAAAGTACATTTATCAACGGGAAGACGAAAGATTTCTACCCAAGGGCCATCACGATGAAAATCACGGAAAGATTCGTGATTCGTGAAAAGATAGGGAGATTCTGATGATAAAGAAGAATGAGATAATAGTTTTAGAGAGATCAAACTGTGATCAGAGGCACCAAATGGTGAATGTGGAGAAACTGAGCACTGACTAGGATCAGAAATAATTAGGGTTGTCTAGAAAGCGAGTAGGAAAGTTAACTATTTGAGTTAATTGAGAAAGGCAAAAGTTGTGAGCTTTAATGCCTGCAGATTCACTGACACTGGCATGAGTATTAAAGTCACCGACAAAAACAATATTGGCTGATGGATAAAGGGAGAGGGTCTTTGCCTAGGAGGCCTTCTACAAGACAGCAGCTGGATGCATTTAACATCTGTTTAAGATGAGTATTTTTATAGAGACACCATCTCTAGCCTTTACTCAACCAAGAGGCCCAAGACAGGGAGTATTTTATGAATAGAATAAAGTGGTGTCGTCTGCAAACATTATAGTAGATTTAGTATTTGACGATGGAGATGGAGCCTTGTGGAACCCCACATATTTTAAGTTTGTTTGTCTGAAAGCCATCATTTAGAGAAATAAACTGCTTTTGATCAGTTAAGTAACTGGTAAACCATTTATGGTATTCGTGGCTTATTCCATAATATTTTAATTTTTCTAATAAAATCTGATGGTTAACGGTGTCAAGTGCTTTTGACAAGTTAAGGAATATAGCTGAACAAAAAAAGGTGAACTTGTTATGAGAAGATGCTCCACTGATAACTTCAACAAGTTGCATAAGTGCATGTTCTGTAGAGCAATTTGATCGAAAACCATATTGGTTATAATAAAGAAGATTGTTATCATAAAAAATGCAAGTATCTTATTATACATGATACGTTCGAGGATTTTTGAAAATACAGGTAATACCGATATAGGTTGATGATTTGTAACCAGGCATTCATCTCTTGATTTAAAAATGGGTGTAATAATTGCAACTTTTATTTTATCTGGAAAAACACCTGTTTTAAGCGATTTGTTAAAAATTTCTAATAAAACATCTTTAATAAGTTCATAGCAGTCTTTGATTATGCTTGCTGAAATAGAATCATAGCCTGTTGCTTTATTTTTATTTAATTTTTTTTATTGATTCATCAAGTTCTTTACTAGTGAGTTTTTTAAATGCTAAGCTTTTATCCGACTTCGATAGATAGCTCAAGAAATGTGCAGGAGTGCGTTTAATTTTGATGGTTAAGTTTGGACCAATATTTACGAAAAACTCATTAAATTATGTTGCCACCGATTTTACATCAGAGATCTGTGTGCTATCTACAGTAATCATGCTTGGTAAAACTTTGTTGCATATTTTTTGTTTTCCAAGAATCTCTTTAATAGCATCCCACGTTTTTTTGCAGTTATCTTTTATTTCTAACAGCTTGTTTTTGAAGTATGTAGTTCTGGCTATTTTTTTATTTCTTTCATATAGACGTTTGTGCTCTAAGTAATTATGCTTATCACGTTCTTTCTTTGATTTAATAAAGCGTACATATAGCTTTTGTTTTCGCTTCGAAGACTTTAAAAGGTTTTTAGTGAACCAAGGATTAAGAAGTCCTTTAGTTTTAATACGGTTTGTTTTATTAGGAAAATGCTTATCGTACAAATTGAAAAATTTATCTAAGAAAAGGTTTAAACATATTTTTTGCTCGGGTTCTAAAGATTTATTTTTTGAAGTACCAGTCTTTTTTTAGTATATCTTTTGACTTTTTGAAAATTGCAAAGACTGGGAAATGGTTATGTCACTTCTGATGATGCCTGATTTAAATGTGGAATGAAAGAGTGTACTTGTGAAAATATTGTCGATTACAGAACAAGAGTTTTGTGTTATTCTTGTTGATTTATTTATTATAGGCATCATTCCAAATTCATTAAAGCGATCGTAAAATTGTTGTACTTTGTTATTTTCACCATTTTTTAAATAGTCGACGTTATAATCTCCAAGAAATAAAAATGAGCGGTCTTTTTTGCATGCTATTTCAAAATAATCATTTAAGTGATTTTGAAAGTTATTTAAACATCGGTTTGGTGGTCGGTATGTACTTGTCACAATAATATTTTTAGATGACTTATTGTAAATTTCTAAAGTGAATGATTCAAAATCCGGCTCAGAGAACGACAGGTCATATCTAATTTTATAAGTAAATTCATCAAACAGATAGACACATATACCACCGCCTGTTTTTGAAGACTTACGTTCAAAACTAATGGCTTTATAGTTGGGCAAAATAAAATTAGCATTTTGATTAAATGTTGTATCAAAAATTCATCTTTCCGTTAAACAAATTAAGCTAAAGTTAAAGTTAAGATTATCTAGTAGGACTTTTAGTTCGTCGAAGTTTTTAGTAATACTACGAATATATTTAAACGAAACACTGAGAATTGATTAAAAAAACATAACTCACATCTTTTAAGGAAAATAGTGGCTTTTTCCGATTCAAAGTAAGAAATGTTCGGGTTTTTTCTGTTTAGAAGTTGATCTTGAATAAGTTGAGATTTTATTCGAGTATAGTCAATATTTGTCTTTTTTGGGGGAGATACTTTTGATGACGTTACTAAATTAGTGGCTATTTGTGAAAAACTCGAGTAAGATTGTCATTTTTAATACCGTAATGAAATTTAATTTTTTCTTGTTCACTTCTTAACGCATTTTTTTTCGTTTCGTTCTATTAATTTATTTTTTAGAATGAATCTTTGACTTGCTGTTAGATCCCGATTTATATACACATTTTCATATTTTTTGATTTTTCTTAATTTAATTGATGTTTTAAGAACCATATTTTTGTTATTAACGTCTTCAAGCTCGATAAGCAAAGGATCGATGCTTCCTTTAGATTCAAGACGGCGAATAGATCTCACTTTTGCTCCATCGCATTCGATAGCACTAAGTAAATTATTTACTTGCGATTTGTCATTTTCTAGTTTTTCCGTCTGTGAAGAACATTGCGTAGCTTCTAATCCATAGATGATGACGTTTGTTTCTCTACGTTCTTGGTCTTTACGTTCCTTTGTGGTTTCAAAAAGAAGAGCTAGTTGGTCATTTGTTTTTTTTGGCTGCCCCTGATACAACTTTCGACCACGTAGTTTAAGGTAAGGCCAAAAAAATAAAGTTTTAAATATAAATGTATAGTAGAGTTTTATAAATATTTTTAGGGTGCCTTATCATTTTGTCGCGCAGTGTAAGTGTTGACTCATATTCGGAAGCCGAATATTCGGATCGCCTAGCCGGGTATTCGGCAAAAACACTATTCTCTACTTCCCCAAGACACCGTATGCTAAACCACGTGCTTGTGTTTACTTAAGAAAACCTAATGAACTTAAGAATGTTTTTTTTATAGTAATAATCGTTTGTTGTTTTCTTTGATAATTTGTTTGTTTATGTTAGTTATACTTATGTTTTTGGTTTTTACGTTACGTATAGCCTATTTTTTATAGTTATTTTACTTTAAATTGGTATTTTAAAGTATATTAAAATGGAAAACAAAGAAGATGTTAAAGAGACCTCACCGGTAAAAAAGTTATATTAATAGTAATTTTAATGTTTTAAACCTGTTTGAACTCTTACAAATTTTGATATATTTTAAATTTTATTTAAACTTTGTTTAAGTGTTTGAACATGTTTCACACAATTTTTGAACATGTTTGAAAAACATAAAAATTAAATTAAACTATCTTAACCATTATTCAGTTTTTTTTTTTAAAGTATGACATTTAGAAAGAACTTTAATCTTGTAAATTTTTAGATTTAAATATTAACATTTTAATGCTTCCAAATCTATGATCTTGAAAAGGTCTTACATTGTACTGTCCAGTTTTAATGTAGGAAACTGATTGTACTTGTAGATCTTACATTGACAATGTAAAACAAATTTTACAATATGTACAATATTTACAATATAAAATAAATTTACAATGTCATTGTACTGTACAATGTCATTGTACTGTACAATGTCATTGTACTGTACAATGTCTTTGTACTGTCCAATTTTAATGTAGGAAAGTCTATTGTACAATTTGTTTTAAATTAGATCTCCTATGTTAAAACCCAAACAGAGATATCTATAAACCTTTACCAAGTTGGCAAGTAAAGTCTCAAATTGTCAAGTCTTAAATTGGCAATGCCAATTTAAGACCATATAATATTATCTTTTAAATCATAAAACAAGGATTTATTAAATTAAGCTTGTTCTTTAAAGTTGAAATTATTTTAATTTCATTTTTTTATAAACCACTCTTTTCAGTAGGTTAACTCAAAATAAAAACCGTTGAAAATAAATTAAAAACTGCTTTTTTTTTTTTTTTTTTTTTTTTTTTTAAAAAAAAAAAAGTAAAACGTTCAAAAAATGAGAGACACTGAACTTTATATAATGCCAAAAAATATTTTGATGAAATTTATATTCTAAATATTAGCTCAATATTAGTTGCAATTTTGCCCTTGACAAAAATTCGTTCAAAATGCAGAAATGTCACTGCTGGCAAACACAAAACATGCAAAAGTCAAAAATAAAGTTCTACAAACAGTATTTTAAATATTATAATTTGTTACAAAAAAGATAATATATTTTTCAATCCAATTATATCCTTGAAAATCTTTTTAAAATATCTTTGAACAGTATAAACTAATGGTAGCTCCTAATTTCTCACCATGATAAACATTTTTTCTCAGACATAACAAACCCAGTGTCTTATTTAGATTTTTATGTACTTCTTTGGATGTTGTTTCTAATATAACACCTAGCGGAATCTTGTATCCAAGTAAAATCTTCTTTGCAAATAAATCATGAATATATATTTTTAAGTAAAACCTGGACTGCACAAATTTATTTGTTTTTTCTTTTTAGAATATATAAAGTTTCAATCCAAAACAACATTCAGCAACTAAATCAAACAAAGGCTAACAAACATTAACTTGCTGAAAATATTAGTTCTAACATGTTTTTATTTTTTTAACCTTATGTAGACTTGTGGTCTTGTCAATCCTCTCTTACCATGTACAAATTAAATTTAAAATTTTCTTAAAAGTATTAAAAACAATTTAAAAAACAATGAGTTGCTTATTTAAAGCTTTTTTTCAGGTGTTCAATAGATTCTAGATATTGGATTGGAGAATGGAGTGTAATTTTGACCAAAGATCTTGAAACTTTTGCAGTGAGGTCCATCAAACCCACCACCATTATAACCATGTCTGACAACAATTTTCTTTTCAAGAAAATTCTCAAGATTTTTATCAGCAAAAAGAAGATCAACATTTTTACTTAATTGGTGTTCATATATATGGTATTCAGGTGTCAGAATTTGCCACCATGGCCTTATATTAAATAAACAAAAAAAAAATTAGTTATTGCTCATTTAAAATTTTCATTGCGATCACGTTCAAGATTTCATTGCAACCACATTCAAGATAAATAATAAGGTACTTACAGATAATTTAAGGATGGTGTTGAGGCCAGTGAATCAATTAAACTAAAATTGATTGAGATAAAAGTGTTTTTAGATTTGTGATGATTTGCCTTAACATTTCAAACTATGCCTAATGTTATCATTTCGTTGACTACAGTGTACTTCAGGCTCCCTGGTTGACAATCTTTAAAGTTCCTTGTTCTACATCAATATTAACACCTACAACAGAATTGAAAAGATCCAATATGCTGCAGGACCATGGTTCAGTTACTAACATAGACAAATAGGTAGATAGGTATTTGGTATTAAAAACCAAGACTAAATATATTGAAAATTTTAATCTAAATTTATTTTTTTTTGTGTGAAAACTAAAGATGTTATAAGGATGTTATATAAAACAATAGAACCATAGAAAATAAAGGTGCAAAAGTGTTTCAACAACTCAATAATTATGACTTTATAAATTAGCTTTTGTTAGTATATAAATTTGACTCTTGAATAAAAAACCTGTGCATCACTGTATTATAAAATACACATTTGATACACATTTTTTCTATAGGAATTGCATGAAAAAGTGTAATAATCGATGTCAAGAAAGTTCCAAAAAGTTTGTCCTTTGTTAAAATCAATAACTTTTATTCAACTTGCTTGTTTACTTATTTCTTTCCATAACTAAAGCTCATTCATACAATATATAAGTCGCTCTCTTTAAGTTTTCTTACTTCTACCACTACTATTTAATCCTGAAACTGCTACCTCTCTACATGCTGATCTCTAAATCATTTTAGTCTTCTCTAACCAACATTGTTCGGTACAACATTTTTTTCTAATCCAGGCTTTGTTTTAAAGCATTACATGGAGAGCGATTTACGCCTTAAGAAATTTTATCCAAGCAGTAAGCAAATTTAATTGTACAACTTTTTATCATTTTTTAACTTTTAAATTATTCTATAAGCAGTAAGATAAAAGAAGTAATTAATTTAAAAAAAAGTCACATTAACTTTTATGACGTTTATGTAAAAATATTTGTTACAAAAGTTTGAATGATAATTATGTTTGATATAAGCACTATTTATTATTGAAAAAAACTCAAATAAAGTTAAAAATTTATTTTGTTTATATTTTATTGTATTGATTAAATTTTTTGCTTGAAAAACATTAATGCTTTAAGCTTGAAGCAAAGATCATAATAAAATAATTTAATTCTGATAAAAAAATATGATTAATTTGAAACTAATTTAAAAAATATATATAATTTAATTTAGATTTAAAAATATATATAAATTATTTTTGATTTAAAAAATATTTTTAAGTTTATTAAAATTAAAGTTAATGCTTGAGTTTAACTTAAACTGTCAAATTTATTTAAAAATATTACTAAATATTGTTCAATATTTAAATTTTTTTGTTCAATATTTAAATTATTTAAATTTGTTCTTAAAAATTAGCTCCTTTTTATCACAATTGTTTTTTCGGTTTTTTTTCCAAAACTTGTTTTTATTTACTCAAAATTAAATTATAAATAAACAGCTGCATATAACAAAATTTGCATATAACGTAAATTAATATGTGGTAGTGGTGTAGTGGTAAAACACTTGCTTCATAAGCAAGAGGTTCCGAGTTCGATCCCCACTGCGTCCCTGGTAGTACTGCGCTCAACTTGTTTCTCCGCGCAGTGGCCTTGTTTATCAAGGTTCGTGTTTCGGAGTTATAGAGTTGAAAGAGGGTTATAACCACTATTAAGTAGCCTCCTCTTCTTTAGTGGCCTTCTCGGCCTTGAGGAGGTGAATAAAAAAAAAAAAAAAAGTTTAACCTTTTTTTTTATAACGCAAATTAAATAGCAGCGATTATTTTTTTAATAAACAACATATACAGCAATATAGTTTTAATAAATGGTGTTTGGAAAGATAATCTTGGCTTTCACAACAAAGTCATTAGTAAAATAATAAACTTTTAAAAAATAAAGTAAATAAATAAACGTAATTTTGTTATTTGTTACTTGCTAAGTTTTTAAAAAAAAATCATTTGTAGTTGCAAAGCCTCAATTAGAAATTTAAGAAATGATCATTTAAAAATTCAAAATTTAAACATATTTTAATTCATTAATAAAAATGTTGAGATTTATTAATATCAAACATTTTTAAAAATGTAATATTAAATTTAATTATTTAATATTAACAAAAAATATAAGAAAATAAACATTCCCTTATAGTAATAATAAAAAAGAAGTTAAATAGCGTTTTGTGGTAGTTAACATTATTGGAGTGGTTTAAAAAAGTTAATGTCTTTATAAAAGAAAAAAAGAAAAATAATTTTATGACATCAAATTTTTATTTAAAACAATGTAATTTGTCTAAGATTATCTTCTTGTCTTGTTACGCCACACATCTCTCTGATCATCTCCTTTTTTTGGCAAATATTATACATTATAAATACTTAAGTTTATATTGATATGTAAGGATATTGTATGCCAGAATCTAAATAAATAACAAATATATAAGTTAATATAAATATTATGTATGCATAAATGCGCATCTTTTCATGGGTCTGATCTTTCATAGGTTTGATCTTTTTAGTTCTCCTTGGATTAGTCAGAGTTATATGGAACTTTTCCTCTAACTTGACTCTTGAATCTAATGTTCATACTGTTTCTGTCATACCAGTTAAACAGATAAACCTATTGTTAAACATCAAAACCACTTAAGCTTCCAATGCTTAAGTTAATTCTCCATTAAACACTTCTACAGTTTGGCTTCAGACAAGATTTCCATCATAGTTTTAAAAAAGTGTTTTCTAGAACTCTCTTCAATTTTTGCTAAACTATGAAAAAGTGTTAAATAAATGTTTCCAATTTTTCAAAACTCTAGAAAACACTTTGACCTCTTTAACTATCCTACAAATAGTCTTCACTCTGTTATTAGTTTCTTTAAGTTTTTGAGATTATTTAAATTATTTCTTTTTAACTGCAGTATTAAAGTTATTCTTGAAGGCCTTCACTCTTCTTCTTTTCCAGAAACTTCAAGGGTATCACATGGTTCTATCTTTGCTCCTGTATTGTTACTTATCTACAATGATGATCTTCATGAAAATTTTACATCCAAAGTGGCTC